TCCCAGCTGAACCCAAACCCCAGCACTATTTGAGCTACAAAAAAGAAACTTAGCTCTGTCCCAGCTAAAAACCAGGACAATCACATACCTGGAAATCCACCTGCCAGGGCTCGGGGCTGACCTGCTGCAGGTCCTGCAGGTGAGTTTTCCGAAGGGGGTTTTTCACCAGGGTTGTGCCAGGATCACTGGCCGTGGGCACCTTCTTACAAGGTTCGTGGTCAGCGATTTGGGTGGTGCTGTAAGCCCGTCTCCTGGAGGAAGCCTTCAGGTCCATGCCTGCATGGTGGGAAAGAGGATTAGCTCCACTCTGGAGTGGGACCATTCAGCCTTGGTTCCCAGTGGGTAGTGGGGAGCCCACCCCTGTGGTCCTCCCGGGGTTGAGGGGGTCACGCTTCAGCCCTGTGTGATTTTAAGTAAAGCAACTAAACCACAAAGGAAATAAGAGCCTACACTCAAAACTCCTGGGGAAGTGGGGAGAGCAGGTTGAAGAGATTTTGTCTGAGCAGTTTTCAGCCAGAAAAAAACCTGACTGCATTTCCCCAAACCTCCCTGGAGAAGAGAAAGGGTTTACTAATGAAATTTCACTAGTGGAGACATTCTCCTGTCAGAGCAAGAGTAAAATTTCATTCGGAAAGGCATGATTTCTCAGTGCTTTTGACAAGGTTGGGGGGATACACAGCACAGTTCTTCTCTGAATATAAGGGAGGAACATCCCATTTGTACCAGAGGTTTCCTTGAGGTGTGGAAATGCACCCAGGTCCGGGGTGCAACCAGCTGCTTTATGCTGCGTGTTGCTGACACAAACACCCAGCTGAACTGTGACAGTCAGGGGTGACACCCTGGGGACTGGGCTTGGATCCATTTCCCCTCTCTCCTGATCTCAAACTGCAATGTCAGGGCTCGAAGGGAAGCGGCTGCTTTGCAGGTGCAGGGACAATCTAGCTGGGCTACCCATTTGCTCACTCCTCTCCTTGTCCACACACCGGATTTCAGCTTGGAAAGCTTGTAAATAATTATTTGGCCAAAGCTAGAGCTGCTTTGAAAATCTCCAGGGAAGCCAGTTCTCCAAAGCTTCCCTTGATTTCCTGACAGGTTTGGATAAAATATCCAAACCAAACAGACTCAGTCAAGCCTCAGGAGATCTGTCATCCCTCCTGCAAACTCCTCCGGCTCTTTGCAGAGATACAGTCAAAGACACTTATTTGTCAGACAAGCAAATTGTCGCAGAAGCTTGATTAGAACGACAGGGGCATCACAGCCACGCTTGTACAGAGGAAAATCTGACCAGTGTCTGTGTCCGACTCTCCCCTGGGATCTCTGCCCACCACCAGCTGATCGGGAGCACGCTCGGTGAGGCAGAAGCCCTCTGAGTCTCTGGAGTGGTTCCAGCTCTCCCCGCTTGCTCCCTCCTCCTGGGAGTGAAAGAAAACAGAGCTGCCCGACTCCTGGGACCGCATCATGCTGTACCGTCGCCTCTTGTCCTGGGGGAGAGCAGAGAGAGGGAACAAGGTCCTACCATCACGTCCGTCAGCTGGATCCCAGCTGAGATCAGCCCCTACTTGTGCACCAGTGCCCTGATCCACTGAGTTCCTATCTCTCCCAGAGGTCTCCCACCATCTCCCATGAGGACAGAGCAAGAGACACCTCCTGACCACAGAAAAAGAGTTGAGGTACCCATTTGTGCATCAACACCCCCTGTTCCCAGGGCGGTCCCACCAGCCAACGCGTCATGGACTCACAGATCTGGGGTTGGAGATGTACAGGGAGGTGTCACAGACGATGCTGTAGCCAACCAGACGGTCACCAGGGAAGAGGCAACTGGTGCTGACGGGGGAAACCAAGACCTCGGTGCTCTCGGGAAAGACCCACTCCACAGACACATCACTCAGGACCGGTGCCATCGCCTTCTTCAGCGACTTGATCATCTGAGGCAGAAAGCAGAGGGGAGCAGTTATGCAGCACATGGACATTGTGTGTGCCATGGTGTGTTACAGGGGAGGGGGAAAATATTTCCCTAAAAAATCCATCAGCTGATTTGTACCTTCTCCTGACCTTCGATGGGAGCCTGCCCTGACACCCATCCCAGCACCCCCAGCCCCTTGGCACTGTTATCCCAAGGGCAGCAGAGCAGATATGGATAAAACCAGGCTCTGGTGTGAGGCAGCATCCCCTGCTCCCCTCCAGCACACAGGAAAAGCTGTTGACCTTCACTTGTCCGAGCCTCAGCCCTGCCCCAAGCCCCGACACTCACACACTGACTGACAGCACTGCTATTATTGGTCCAGGTCCTTGCTGGTACAAGCCACTGCTGGAGATCAAGCAATGCTCTGCCAATTACACATGTGGAGAAGACCAATATCTGTGAATATCTCATGGACAAACCTACCAGGGAGCCATCTACAAGAGCTTTCCTGCACACCAGGGGAAGAGAACACCAGATTTAGAGGCAGAACAGCTCAAATGTTCTCTATTGTTCCCTGCTTTCTCACAGGCTCAGGAAGACACACCAGGCTGTTTTTTATAAGGCCATTAATTGATGCCTCAGACTGCTGAAGGCACCAAGCTGCACAGCTCGCAAAGCTCTTTATTAATAGCTCTATAAAAAAACAACAACGCTTCCTTCACTGTCTTTGCTTTTAATTTACATCAGAAATGCTGATGCCGTTCTGTCTTAGAGAGGTTTCTGTGTGCTCCAGGTTCCTGCAGAGGGGTAAACTGTTGAACTCCTTCTTTTGAGATCAAGAACATAGAAACCAGCTTTTCAGAGATATTTAAGAGCTAAAGACCCAAGTCTCTCTGGGTTTAGTCATCCGGTGGATGACAGGCTTGGCACCACGCTTTCACCAGGGGACAAAGCCATTCTTACGCCGTTCTGAGGCACATCAGTTTACTCAGTCTTCATGGGGAGAGTGGAAATGAAGAGGCTCCCCCCTTTCCTTTAAAGTTGGTTTAATAGGCAAAGCTATCGCAGCGTATTCCTCTCCCTCAAACCCCGGGTACTTCTCGCCTGAGCAACGCGAGGGCTGAGCCTGACTTCAAAACTAATTGGCTGCTTTGATGCCGGTTCCTCTGCCCTCGCTGGTGTCTGAGGCAGCAGTTACCTTTGAAGCCAAAGCTGCTGCATCCCGGCTATCGCTTCTCCCCATCCCCACACGGAGGGTAAACACACCCTCCCACTCCCTCTGACAGCCGGAGATGAAGATGCTCTTTCATCCCCTCCCGCTCGCCCACCTGCTGCCGAGAGGGAGTTGAAAAGGCAGCACCAGGATGGGGAATAAGACCCACTATGAGCCGTGGCCTCCCCCTCGCTGAACCACAGCATCGTTAGAGCCGTACAAGGTGGTCTCCTCAGGGAGTGGGTGGATGTACCTTGGGCTGCAGCCTCTCTCCCTCCGCCACGAACTCGGCGATGCCCCTGGACACGGCAGCCAGCCCCCGAACCAGCCTCCTGCAGGCGTTTGGCCCGATGCCGAAGCTGTAGCACCTGCAAAGGGACAGGGAGTGTCAGCATCCAGGGGATGAAGCCATCCCAACCCCAGATCCACACAGCCCACCCACTCCCTGCAGGCAGAAGACACCTCCATCGGCTTTATCCCACTGCTAGGCACTTGTCCAGCACATCTAGAGGAAAATAAACCAGCTCCTCTTCTAGGTGGCTGGCAGGAGGGTCAGGAACAGGGATCCCCCTTCTGCTACCCCCAGCAGACCTCAAATCCCTTCCTCAAAGAGCTGCCTTCAGCTGGGGTGCTCAGGGGCTTCCCAGAAGGACCCCAAGCTCTCCTCTGCAAACACAAACAAGCTGCTTTGCTGCCAGTTCAGCTCTTTTCCCTGCCGAGTGTCCGTGGTCAATAGCGCTAAAGACTCGGTAATTATCTCTGCTCACAATTAAAATAAATGTTTTCTCAAGGAAAGAGGAAGCAGCTCCCCTGACTCCCAGCTCAATGAGTCCGGATTTGGTTTTGGCTGAAGGCTGCAAACCCAGAGCTGAGCAGGAGCCTGGGGAGAAGCGAGCAGTGCCTGGTGGGGATGGATGCGGTAGGAAGCCAGGAGGGATGGGTGGGACACAGTGTTGGGCAAGCTGAGAAAAAAAACCCAAAAACACTTTCAGCAGCAAACTGCATCTGCAGGAGGGGCTTTTCTCTTAGAGGTTTTTAATCCCTAGATGGCTGCAAATCTTAGGGCAGCCTCACACTCTCTTAAATAAGGCTCTGATGTTCTTTTGAGACAGGGGCCACACACAGGACTCGGTGGTGTGCTGGGCGCTGCCCTCCAGGGTCACCCAAGACCAGGCTCTAACTCCAGTTGCATGTAGCCCAGCACCATGTCCCTATAAGAGCCAGGGACGGGTTGATCTATACAGCTGAGAGGCAGTTAAACCCCCATAACATAAAAAAAGGACAGAGCAGCTTCCCTGATAAGCCCTGAAGTCTGAGGGATGGAAGAGGAATAAGATTTCCTTACATTTTTCTCACATTTCATGCCCCTTAAAGAGGCAGAGGAGAAACCAGAGCAGCTTGTCATCAAGGCTGGGGAACCAGGCTGGGAGCTTGATGCACAAATTAGCTGTTTTTTACATTGCTGTCTTTCAGCATATTCAATTCTGCCCAGCCCCATCCTGGAAGCAGCTGGGGCCAGACCCAGATGTGCTTTAAAAAAATAAAAAAAAACCCAGCAAAGAAGATTGTTCATGTGTCAATCTCTTCTAGCAGGAAGCATCAGACGAGAGCCTGTGAAGCTGTCAGCTCAATTATCCTGCTTTTGATTGTTTAAAAAAGCATCTGAACTTCTGGGATCTGTTCCAAACCCTTTGAGGTTCTCCCATGGCTCATACCAGCAATCTCTCCTGTCTGTAACTCTGAAGCAGGGACGTCTGTGAGACGGAGCCGTGTTCAAGGAGAACCACGTGCCCCACTGTGCCAGGCTTTCACCCCTGCACCCGTACCTGGTGGAACAGGAGTGGTTTCGCAGCAGCTCCAGGACCTTCCCCGTGTTGCTGATGGCCCCATCCGTCAGCAGAAAGAGCAGTCGGGGATGGCCCCTGTGGATGGGCTGACGAATGACCCACTTCAAAGGCGATAAAATATTGGTGCCACCCATATCAGCTCGGATTTTCTTGATGCTCTCGCAAGCGATGGCCAGGCTCTCCTGCCCAAAGGAGCAGTGCAATCATCAACCTCTGCACCAGCACCCTCTGAGCACCAAGGAAATGTGGCTTCACCCACCTCGCAGTAAATCTGACTGGCAGGAAAGAGGGTCTTGAAGGTGGATCCAAACCCAATGACGTTGAAGAGACATGCTGGCATCAGGCTCTTAAGAATGACCAACAGAGCGTCCTGGGGGATGGAAAGCAAGTGGACATCAGGCACAACCAGGTCTCTCACCAGCTGCCCCAGCTTCACCAGTAAAAGCTCTGCCCAGACCCTGCCTTGCCATCACACCTTACTCCCACCTACATTGTCTGCCTGTATTTGATAATAAAACTGCTTCTTTCATAGGATTTCCCACACCAAGAAAACACTGTCTATTACTCTGCTCTTTCCAAAGCCCCTTAATGATATTTGGGTCCCCAAGCAGTGAGGAAAATGGGGAGCCTTCCAATAAAAAAAAAATAAAAAAAATAAAAAAAGGAGCTGAACAAATTTTTCTGTTTGTTTTTAACTGATTAAATTTGTGCTTGCAATAGGGTACTGCAGCACAGAGCTGGTGGGTGAGAAGCAGAGTGTGAAATTGAGAAGTGCGACACGCAATGCATTTCAATGTCCAAACTTGCAGAAAATAAACAAACAGCTTAAAGTTACACAAAAGGAAAAGCCTCCCCCATCCCCAGTTCTCTTGTATTCATAGCTGGCATCAATTAAAATAACGGGAGAGACAGATTTAAGCTATTTTCTTTACCAGAGGTGGTTATCTAACTTGCCTATTCCTGGTTTTTACATAAGAGAAGAGCAATTGAAATTGTCTCAGACATCTGTGATGGCTGTGGACAGCTCCAGGACAGAGGTTGTGTTAACAGCAACTGGGCAAAAGCTCCCCAAGGAGCTCCTGAGCTTGCAGGAGAAGCAGGAGCAATTAACGTGGCAGGAAAAGGAGACTAATTTAAAGCAAAGTGCTGGCAGTGTTCAGGAGAGCCTCGGTTCTTTCTGTTTATGTGCTGATAAAGGCAGACTCCTGCCAGTCTGCCTAGAGCAGCAGAAACCCTAGAACCAGCCCCAAGAGAAGAGCTTGCCAAGGTCAAAGGAGCAAGAGCAGCCTCCTTGCTTTGTCATCCGCCGTGGCAAAGACCGAGTCACCGCAGAGGGTGGGTGCTGGAGCTGCAGGCAGAGAAACCCCCAACCTGGGAATGGCCGTGGGGAGATGGGCAGCAGGTCAGTCCAGTTCCCAACCCCTGTGAGACTCAAGGCAGAGCTGGAGCACTGCAAATCAGCAAAATAACATAGGAGAGCAGAGTTGCCCTTTAACAGGCTCCAGAATACTTGAAACCAAGCTGTTATCTCAAACCTACGAGAATATATTTATACTGCTGCTTTCCAGATGGCTCCTGGGATGTCAGCTCTTCCAAATCTCAGCACTGACATCCCAGCTCAGAACTGATTATAAGAAAAAAAACAAACCCAAAACCCTAAATTTTCAAATATTTCTGTTAAAGCACTTCCCAAAGCGGGCAACTGATGCCTGCTTTCTGTTTCAGCAAGCAGAAAGATTTATTGCTTCTTATGGTAAATATTGATCTTGATCCTGTTGCACTCAATATCTATATGGCAACTCAATAAGGAGGAGATGTTTGCCTCCAGAGAAGTCAATTCCCAGTTATTAGTCTAGTTTTGCCAGCAAATCCACTTGATGCAGGCACCATCACTCTTCTGCCCGGCTGCATCAGGATGGGAAAAGAAATTTAAACCCCTGAACTTTCCACCCCAGCCACTTTGGCCAAGGGTCCTCCTTGAAACGCGTCCTCCTGGCTGCACAGAGCCAGCCCATGTTGGACCATCTCCTCTCTATTTGCATCTCCACCAGCACCACCTGAAATCTCCCATATCTCCCCTAAAATATTTTTCCAGAAGGGCAACAGGCTTTTTCCTGTTTTTAAAGCCCTCCTGCAGATGGAAGTCCCAGTTCAGGACCTCCTGGAGAAGGGCTCTGTCACTGCAGGGTCCCCATCCTCATGGGACAAACCAGCCTCCATGGAGGCTGTGGAGACTGCAGTGCCCAAACCCGGCCACACTGTGAGTTTGGAAAGGAAAAGTCTGGCCTGAGGCAGAGATGCCTCCTGATTCCCAGGCTCCAAAACGTGCCAAGACAAGGGGGTTCCACCTCGGAGATATCCCAGCCCCTTTGGTGGATGGGACAGGGGAGAGCCTCCCTATCCCAGGGGACCTGCTGCAAACGTCCTCAGGCTCCCCACATCCCAATCCTTGTTGCTGGAGGTGGCCATCCTCTGGCAATTCCCATGCAGAGACAGATGGGCAAGGAGATGGGCTAGAAGATGCTCCCTGCCACTCGCCTTGGGTGGTCAGTCCTGTAGAAGCAAGTGCAGCTGTACCCGGGGGAGCATTTGGGTCCAAATTTGGGTGGCACTTATGTTAGGAAAAGGTGTGAGCAGGACACCTGGGGACACATCAGCTTGGGGAATCTCTCAGACATCCAAATGCAACCAAACCCCTCAGGGGAAGCCTGCCTCTGCAGTTCCCTTGCTGTCCTCAGGGAAGATGCACAGGGCAGTGTAGACCCATGAGGATGTGACATTTGTTATGCTCTTGGGGCTCAGCTGGTCCCAAAAATGAAGACAGAGACTTTCCAAAGAGAGCTTTTGCCAGAAACCACAGCTTCTCACTGAGACCTGCCAGCTGGCAGGTGTCAGACACTAACCTGGCCTCCAAAGCCCATTAGGCAGGGATAATGATAATTAAATAGTTACCAGAGTGATTTCCCCTTTGATGGACACAGTGGTCCCCAGCAGGCTCAAGGCAGGAATCTCTGCAGATCCTTTGTGCAGTGGCACAAAGCCAAGCCTGCCTCTCATGGGGCAATCCACAGCTGGGTCACAGTCCCATCTGACAGTGGAACCTCAGACCCACCAAATATCATGACAAGGCCTTTCTACAGCCCCTTTTTTATCCAGATGTCTCTGCAAACCTCCCATCATCCTCCATCAGTCTGCTGGTCTTCATTTCTATTTGAAAAAGGGATGCATCGTGTTCAAACAACTTCTGGGGGTGCAGAAAGGAGCCCACCAGTAAAATGTCTCCTAATGCATGGTCAGCATGTCACCCTGAACCTTCCCTTGGAGCTCCCTGGAGGTTTCCCACCTAGGCAGCGATCTCCCCAAGCTCTCCTGGAGACAGGGAGAACTGGAGAAGGAATGCAGAAGAGATGCACACCAGCAAAAGTGGGAAAGAAAACACCTTTGCATTTGATGTGCTGATAGGAGAAAGAAGAAGAGGAGCAGAACGGGGGCGAGTCAGCTTCACCGCAGGTACCTAACAAGCCACACGGTTGAGATGACTAAAGCTGCAGTATATAATTACCCCCCATCCCCTCATAACGAACATTCATCAGCTCTCAGCAACCCCCACTGCTCTCTAATATTCATCCCTTGCTGGCAGGCAGGCACTTCCCCTCCTGCGTGGTACCTTGACACGGTTGATGTTCACGCCGCTCATGCTTCTGCTGCGGTCTACGAGGAAGATAAACTCTCCTTGGGCTTTCCGGAGGTCTGGCTGGATGGTCCTCAAGTCAGGGCAGAAGTTAAGCATGATGACAGGGTGGTGAGGGATGTCCTTGTTCAGCCGTTTCCTGATGATTTGTGTCTGTAAGAAAGAAGGAAAGAGCTCAAAAGGTTGATTTTTCTGCCCCTTTTCAACTTTGAGGGAAATCACAGCAGGGCTGCATGCCCAACGATGAAGCACATGGCCTTTTGTGGGCAAGGATCACTTTGTTCTGGCCTCAGTGGTGACAACACCTGAGCTCAGGCTGTGCCATAGCCTCTGTCCATACCCCCTGCAGAGCTGCTCTGTGGGTGAATGGGATTCCTGCCTCTTCCCAGCCATGGTCACGCTTTGCCCAGGGGACAAAGGTGGCAGAAAGCCTAAATTAGGGACCCCAGCACACACGGAGCAGCTGCACGGCTGGATGAGAGTCTGGAGAAGAAATGAAAAGATCTGGATCTTGCAAAACTGATGCTTCAAACTTTTCATTAGATCCCTCCCCAAAATGTGATTCATTAGTGCAGTTTGGTATCACACCGGAGGTTTTGTCCGTGGTCACTCAATAATGAAGTGCCAGATACAGCCCTCAGCACGCTGTATTTATTGCTTTGATTCATTCCTGCCACTTCTGGTCTGCTGCTTTTTCTGCCCATTTCTTTGATCATTTTCCTTTGCACAAATTGAATCGCTTTGGAAAGCTGAACCGGTTACTCAGGACATGGTTCGATAGGAACCCACGTGATCTATGTCTCTATACTGCACACAGCTCTAATAGCTCTCTGCATTTCGCCTCATTTTATTTCGAGCAACAATCTTAATTAAAAACATGATAAAATTAAACTGGAAAAAAAACCCCAACCTCTTGTGATGGGTTTATAATCTGTTGTTATGTGTGTATAAAGCAGCCCCAGGTTCATGGTCTTGGCTGCTTTTGAGGGAGCTCTGGGAGCCCACAGCAGCATGAACCGTAACCTTCCATCCCTGGGTCTGCAGCGCAGGAACATGCTCCACAATAACCACCTGGGTCCTTGGGGGCTTTGTTTGTTTTTTTTTCCCCCCTCTATTTTTTTTTTCCTCCCCTTTTTTTTCATGCTGGTTTCACCAGGAGTAAACTAGACCCTAAATAACCGGGTTTGTTTTCTCCAGCCATGAGTCATATTCCTAGATCTACGAGCTAACGATGAAGTTTTTTATTTTACATAACTCACTAAACTCAGGAGACCTGGCAGATCAACACATAACACGCAGGCTTCGCTTTCGGCTGCGCTGCTGGAGTGCTGCTCCTTTGACCCCTGCAAAAAGACAGTTCCCATTCACAGGAACAAACACCTTGTTGTCACCCCAGCTCTCGCTCATCCTCTTGCATTTCACTCTCATTCTTTGCAGTATAAATTCATCAGTCACTAGGAAATCAAGGGGCTTTTTCCATCCCTATTTTCCTCCAGTTATAGGATATTATTTTGTTTAACATCTTTCCCAGCATGGATGTTTATTAAATTTCAGACTAGAGGAATCCTTGCTGCCTCTCCAAGAACCAAATTGTGGCTCTGGACCTACTCGCAGCGCTCCTTGGGATGCTCTTGGGGACCCAAGACATAAAAAAATCCCTGCATGATCAGGATGAGCCCGTAACATGGATTTCCCAGCCCATAACATGGATTTCCCAGCCTGTAACATGGATTTCCCAGCCCATAACATGGATTTCCCACTGCCTTCAGAGTGAATTTTACAGGCAAGCCTCCAGTAAACAGCCTTGGAGCTGCTGCTGCAGGTCAGCTAGAAAAGCAAGCACTTCATCCACACTGTCTCTTCTCCTCCCCTCCATTCCTCTTCACCCTTTATCCAATTAGAGTAAACTAATCAGATCTTGTTGACCGAGAGTTGATTCCAGCGTGTGTTCCTCCCCACCACCCTGCTACCTGACAGGCATCCAAAGCTTTTGCATAACAAACTCAGGGATGAGAATTAATTATCATTAACTGCTGCAATTTCTGGGCTAATTCATTTAAGCTGAGAAGTGCCCAGTGTCATGCTCTGAGCAGCAGCAGTTCTAGCCCATAATCTACCCCAGACACTCAGGGCATTTTCTCTGCTTCTTGTCCTTCTCCCTGCAGTTGCTTCCCAATCTTCCTGTGGCAAAGAGGTGGGTTTCCCACAGGGAAATGACTCTGACATGATCTCCCCACCCGCCGATAATTTGACGTGCTAAAGACACAGAAATAATTAGAGAGCCATCTGAGTCGTAGCGTGGGAGTTTCATTCCGTTCCACCTGCCACATGCTGAACACAATTAAAGGAGATGCCTGCCGCGTGAGCAAGCGCGGTCCTGACGCCAGCATCATGCTGCAAGAGAAATCAAAGGGCAAAAGGAAAGAGAAAAGGGTTGATGTGTCTCTGGCGAAAGAAGAAATCACGGCAGCACAGGGAGGCACCTTCGCAGCAGGTTTGGGACATCTGCCAAGCGTGGGTCCAAGCTCAGGGATGAGGAGATTGAGTTTAAGGGGAAAATGAGCATCCTGGATTGCAAACGAGAACGTCAGCGCGTGTAAAATGGGGAGCTGACACAGTGAGCCCCGGGGCTGTGGTTACACAACTGCAACGTGTGCCTGAGGTGAAGACACCCACCCTGGAAATTCAGAGGGCTCTGACCAGTCTGCTCCTCTTCCCTGCTCCCAGACACGCTGCTGTGGCAGCTCAGAAGTGCTTAGGCTGTCACTCATCACTTCAGAATTGCTGAAAGATGAGGCATAAATCCCAGAGCAGATATTTTTCTATTTGCTGATCAGCAGAACAAAGAGAAGTTTCTCCCACCTTGTCTGCAGTTCAGCTCATTATTCCAAGCAAAATCACTGATTTCTCCCTGACAGCTATCCAGAAACAGTAAACATTTACTGAGCAATTAAAATAATATTTTATTCTATGTCATTGCAATAATTATAATACCCTTAATGCTCTAACAATGTACCTATCTAATTATGCAATGCTAGACTAGTACTAATTATACACACAATAACCATCTCAGAGCTTCTTCCACACTCAGTTTATCAGAAGCACTGCTCAATTTTCCCCTCTTCCTCCACGCAAGCCCCTCTCTGAGGGAGGATGACGCAGAGCTTGTTGGGCCAGTGTAATATCTGGCACTGCAAGCAAGCAAGCAATCATTTACTTGCACAGCTCTCCAGTCCCAAGGAAAGCCTCAGCTGACGCCTGCAGCTTTTGCTTCTCACCTTTTTCTCAGCACTGGGGTCCTTCTTAGTGCCTTTAATGAAATCATTCTTCCCCTTCAGGTGTCGTTCGTACTCTGCAGGCGTCATATCACCTTCTTCCATTAAGATGTGAGGCATGTGGGGCTCTGGAAATGCAGAGAATCGGGTGAAGAACAGCCTTAGCTAAACTTTAGGTTTGTAAGAGACACAGACACTCTCAGTTGTGAAAACAGAGCAACATCTCTGAGCTTGAGCAGCATGGGCAACCTTGAGAGGGTCAGGGCTTATCTCTGAGCAAGCCTAACTCCTGACAATATCTGCAGAACCAGAGCTAATCCAGCTGTCTCCAGCACTACAGAGGAGGGTCCCAGGAAGGGGCAAGAGCAGTAGAGAGGAAGCAGAGCCCACCTACCACTTGGATGGATCAGGATCTCCACGGGTCTGTCAAAGGTGTGTTTATTGGCCAGTGTGATCATGATGCTCTTGGCGGAGCGAGCGGAGGGGTCGGCGTCTGCTCGGATCTCATGTGTAGGGCTCTCAACACCTGCCCGGGGAAACCAAGGTGCCATTAGGGACTGAGGATGGGGAAGACCAGGGAGAAGAGACAGCAAGATGGCAAAGGACAGGAACCAAGAGGACTATGTGATGCTTCTGCTGTATCAACACCCCATGTTAATATCAGTGTTGTACTGGTAAATCCACCCCAGCACAGTTAACTTGCCAAAACTGACTCCACATTGAGGGGCCAGAGAAGGAGGAAGAGTGTGGACACTGCCTTGAGGAGGTGATAAACCTGGTGCAGCAGGATGGCTCCAGTGCTCCTACCTGCCAGCAAGCACGGCCCTCGGATCTCCAGATGGAAGCTGAAGTCGTACTCGACGGGGTTGGTGGCCTCGCTCTCCAGCAGCTGAGCCAGCCAGAACCTGCTCCCTTGCTCCAGGCTCCCTGATCCACAGTAGTGTTTGTCTCTGACAGGGAGGTGAACCCCAGTCAACACTGTGCACATGTTATATTCCCACAGGAACTGCAGATCTGCTGGAGGTGAAGCCTGCAGCAGCTCTCCAGCCTCCTACAGCAACAAGCAGGCTTCTGCTCAGCCAGTCCTGCATCCCCCCCAAGATCAGTCCCAGCCAGAGCCCATCCCATGGTTTTTCTTACGTTCGCAGCTGGTGGCTGGAGAGGCTGCTGGTATTCTCTAGGCTGGGCTGGGGGACCCTGGGGACACACACAGCTGGCAGAAGGACCCTCACAGCCCCACTGGGTAGTGTCTGCAGCTCAGAGGAGGTGCTGATGAAGATGGAGACACTTTCCAGGGGAGGAATCATGCCCAGGTTAGCCACAAAAACAATCCTCTCCAAGTCTTCATCCATCATGATCCTTCCTGCACAGAGAGATGACCAGACTAGGGAGATGTGGTGTCACAACCATGGAATTTGCTCCTTCCCAGGCCTCCTGCAACCACCCCAGCCCTGGATCAAATGCCCAAACCAGCCCTCACTGCACACATCAGCACTTCTCTACAGAGCCCGAGCCCCAGCCCTCTGCACCACCCTTTAGCCATCCAGAAGCAAGAATGCTTTCCAAAACAGATGAGACCGTGGCTTTTGGCAGACACTCCAGAGAGGGACACGAGCACCACAACCCAAGGCTCAGCTTTTCAAAAGGAGGCCCCTCGATGCCATGGCATATGACAGCCAGCCACCCCCTGCCACCTCCCCATTCCTCTTCCCCTGGATTTCATCCCCACACTCACTAAAACACCCCTGAGCCCCTCACCACTTCCATCAGGAGCTCTTCCATCAGGGACCCTGCAGCCGTTGAAATACGTGTCATCTATCTTGGCTTTGTCTTTGATCTGCACCGTCACGGCACGTCGGGACACGGCTGCTTCAAACCCCACGATGGTGGTGCACTCATCCAAGGGGTAGACAAAGAGACCTGCCAGCCAGAAGGTTTTTTAGCAACACCAAGTACTTGCCTGGACCCAACAGCCAGGTTTGCAGAAATCAGCTCCCTCTTGGCACTTCCTATGCATGCTCCTGGGATATTTCACACTTCAACAATTGGAGCCTTGGACCATTGAAGATACAATTGAGGACACAATAGCCTTGGCTACTCTTCCAACAAGCATCTAAAGGTTAAAGGCACGTACAGAAACCCAGCGCTGTGATACCCCTGGCTCTAAAGCTCCTGTAGTAGCTGTTATATTGAGACCTTCAACCCCCAAAACTTGCCTTCAAAAGCCTGGGCTTCTGGGTTGCGGTAGGTGAGCGAGGCTGTCATCCCAAAGGCATAGCCGCTGACACACGATGTCACCTCTGATGCAGAGAGGGGCAGCGGGGAGCGGGTGGTCTGGTTAATCAGCCCTGGCATCTTCCCGGGGGTCTGTGGGTGATGGTGGGGTCAGGGACCACAGTGAGCTGGAAAGGCAGAAGGATGAGAAGGAATGAGGAGCCTTGAGTGCCCAAAACACTTGTGTGCCTCCACCACCTCATGGTGGTTTCTGCAGCCCTGAGGACAGAGTGGTGACTGACCCATGACACCTGGGCTTGGTGGCTCCGCTGGTGGAGATGGGGATGGAGACAAGAACCTGGTGGCTAACACTTGCCCCAAATCCCCACCAGCACAAGGGAGGAGGCTCAGATTAAACCTGCCTGGCTGGGGACAGGCAGTCCCAGAGGCTGACACTGCAGTGGTGGATCACACATCTCACCAGCTCCTGCACCCACCTACTCCTTGAGTCTGGACAGAATGGGTTAACACCTTTCTTTGCCCCTCCTGCTCCTCATTATCCTCCAAACCGAGATGTTTCTCCAGGATAAGACTGTGATCCTGAGAGTTTTCCTGTAGCCTGAGGGAAGGAAGAGCAGGTGGGCAGAGCCAGGTATCCTCCCTGCCCTCCCACACCCTTGTCCATCCTGGCTGCATTTCAGGGTGGTGCCTCTGGGCTCTGCTGCCCCACATCTCCAGATCCTCCCTGCAAAGGCTGACTCATCCCTCTGCTTTGCTTAGAGGAGACGTTCAGATGCAAAGTGGCCACTTCTGCCAATTACATTTCAACTCTTTTTCCCTGAGCAGGTTTTCCTCTGTTCCAGCTCATCTCTCCCAAGACAGAGGGTTTCAAAAGGAGACCTTTCAGGTAGCTCTCGGGCCATATCCAGCTCCCCTGGGGCATCAGAAGAAGTTGCTAGGCAGCAGTTCTCCCTGGCTGGCTCTGCAATGCTTTATGCAATGATTTACAAGGCCCAGGAGGAGCCAACAGCAGTGAAATACATCAGTTTCTCATTTCCTAGCAGTCTTGCGTTATTAAAACCACCTTTATATGCAAACGCCGTGGAAGATGTGAACAGCAGATAGCAATGCCACCAGCTCACCGAGTGTTCGGGCAGGAAAAAGGCAATAAGGGAGGAAAAGAGAGAGCAAGGGAGAGCAAGCAGAGCGGGGTGGGCTGGGACAGAGCAGCCAGGGTACTCAGGCATATAAACCAGAACTGCCTGGATTGGAAAAGATCTTTAAGATCATCGAGTCCCATCATGAACCCAACACTGACAAGTCCCCAACTAACCCATGTCCCTCAGCACTGTGTCTAAACGACTCTTCAATCCCTCCAGGGATGGGGACTCCACCACTGCCCTGGGCAACCCCTTCCAATGCCTCAGAACCCTTTCAGCAAAGAAATTCTTCCTCACATCCCATCTCAACGGCCCTGGCCACAACTGGAGCCCATTTCCTCTTGTCCTGTCCCTTGTTCCTGGGTTGAACAGCAGTGAAGGAGGAGATGGAGGGCAGTCATGAGGGCTGTATCTCAAGGCACACTCCCGATTCCCAGCCAACAACCTCGGCTGGTCCTGATTTAATCCTCCTCTCCTTCCACCACAAAGGCTGCTCACACCAGGAGCTGCCCATGGGAGACAGGGGATGCATCCAGGGGGATGCAGCCCCACATGGGCAGGAGATGCAGGAGCGTGTCCAGCTCAGCTGCTCTGGCATGGGAGTTCTCCATGAGCCCAGGGGAGGCCGTCACACACCAGGATGCTCCAGGCCATGCTAACAGGGCTTGTAAAGTCAGGAGCTGGCAAGAGTTCGCCTGCTACAGGGAGAGATAATGAAGGTCATCTCGATGCAGAGACATGGCAGAGGCCATCAAGATATCGGGAAGTGATTAAATGCCAGGCGGGGGAAGAAGGAGGGGGGATTATTTTGCCTCAGGGAAGAAAGCAAGCAAGAAATAACAAGGGGAAGATGTTCCCTCCAGCTGGACTCAGTGGGAATTCATTACGGGGTTGCCAGAGAGGTGAATCAGGCTCCAGGCAGCTCTCTTGGCTGCAGTGATTACAGCAGAGCCAGGGTTGAGATCCAAGCCCCTCACCTCTCCTGCGCAGAGGCACAGGACATGCTTCCCATGGGACCTGCTCTGCCAGC